AGTTGTCGCAAATAATAGTTGGTTTACAGAATATTCATTTTTAGGTCACCCGAGTTATTCAGGTGACCTATTGCAATCTGTTTTTGTCCGTCAGCGTGCGTCGTCAGTTAACATTTGAACGTTATGAGCTTCTATTCTGGAACCACTGAACCAATTTCAACCAACTTTTGCATAAAGCTTCGATGAGTGAAAGGGAACAGAAATTGTGAATTTTATGGTCCACCCCCAACCCTGGGGCTTAAGGGTAGGGATTAAAACCACCAAAATTAATGCTATCTTTAAATATTTTCTTCATACTTTTGGACATCAAGCAGTCTAACTGTTGCTCCTTGGAACTATTTAAACAAACTAAGTGTTTGGTTATGATAAGCTAAGATGCCGCTTCCAAAATTGTGAAATTCATGGCCCCAGGGTCGGGGGTTCTGGTGAAAGGTTCTATTGATTATGTAGTAAAAAAAAGCATAATTTGTTTGAAAATATTTTTCTCTGCTCTTGGTTATAAAGCAAAGACACTAAGTGTATAATTATGATGAGCAAGGGTGCCTCTTCTAGAATTGTGAGTTGCATGGCCCCTGGGTCAGATGCTCTAGTGTAAGGGTGGGGCTCTATTGATAATATAGGGAAATTGCATTAATTCTATTAAATAATCCTGTCTACTCCTTAGTAAACAAATTGTATAGTGCTTCTTGCAAAATTTTTAGCTCACCTGAGCCGAAGGCTCAATTGAGCTTTTCTGATCACATTTTGTCTGTCGTCCGTCTGTCTGTCCGTCTGTAAACTTTTCACATTTTCGACTTCTTCTCCAGAACCACTGGGCCAATTTCAACCAAACTTGCCACAAAGCATCCTTGGGTAAAGGGGATTCAAATTTGTTCAAATGAAGGGCCACGCCCTCTTTCAAGGGGAGATAATTAAGAATTAGTGGAAATTTGGTGGTATCTTTTAAAAATCTTCTTCTCAAGAACCACAGGACTGTAAAAGTTGAAACTTATGTGAGACCTTCATTACATAGTGTAGATTCAAGTTTGTTCAAATCATGACCCCCTGGGGTAGGGTGGGGCCACAATGGGGGATCAAAGTTTTACATAGGAATATATAGGAATAAATCTTGAAAAATTTTCTCCTCAAGAACAACTAAGCCACAATTAGTCATATTGATGTGGAATCATCCTCAGGTAGTGTAGATTCAAGTTTGTTCAAATCATGACCCCCAGGGTTAGGGTGGGTCCACAATGGGGGATCAAAGTTTTACATAGGAGAATATAGGAATAAATCTTTAAAAATCTTCTCAAGAACAACTAAGCCATGATTAATCATATTGATATGGAATCATCCTCAGGTAGTGCAGATTCAAGTTTGTTCAAATCATGACCCCCGGGGGTAGGGTGGGGCCACAATGGGAAATCAAAGTTTTACATAGGAATATATAGAAAAAAATCTTTAAAAATCTTCTTCTCAAGAGAAACAAAGCCACGATTAGTCATATTGATATGGAATCATCCTCAGGTAGTGCAGATTTAAGTTTGTTCAAATCATGACCCCTAGGGGTAGGGTGGGGCCACAGTGGGGAATCAAAGTTTTACATAGGAATATATAGAAAAAAAAATCTTTAAAAATCTTCTTCTCAAGAGCAACAAAGCCACAATTAGTCATATTGATATGGAATCATCCTCAGGTAGTGCAGATTCAAGTTGGTTCAAATCATGACCCCCGGGGGTAGGGTGGGGCCACAATGGGCGATCAAAGTTTTACATAGGAATATACAGAAAAAAAAACTTGAAAAATCTTCCTCTCAAGAACAGCAAAGTCTTGTTAAGTCATAATCATATGGAAGCATTCTCAGATAGTGTAGATTTAACTTTGTTTGAATCATGACCCCCAGGGTTAGGGTGGGCCACAATGGGGGGTCAAAGTTTTACATAGAAATATATAGGAAAAATTTAAAAATCTTCTCAGGAACAGCAAAGCCATGTTTTTGTCATATTGATATGGAATCATCCTCAGGTAGTGTAGATTCAAGTTTGTTCAAATCATAACCCCCAGAGGTAGGGAGGGGCCATAATGTGGGATCAAATTTTTACATAGGAATATATAGGAAAAAAATCTTTTCAACAACAGAAAAGCCATATTTAGTCATATTGATATGGAAGCATCCTCAGGTAGTGTAGATTCAAGTTTGTTCAAATGATGGGGGTGGGTGGGGGGGGGGGGTTAGGAAGGGTCCACAATGGGGGATCAAATTTTTAACAAGGGAATATATAGGAAAAAAATCTTTAAAAATCTTCTGCTGAAGAATAGCAAAGCCATTAGTTATATTGATATGGAAGTATCCTCAGGTAGTTCAAAATCCAACCCCCCCTCCCCCTTTAAACTTTTCAATACTGAAGTGATTTGTGCTTTTTCCTAGCCAATGTGCTCAGGTGAGCGATGTGGCCCATGGGCCTCTTGCTAAAACTTGTGGTCCCAGGGTGAGGGGTTCTGGTGTTTCTTGGGGATGGGG